AAATGCAAAGATAATGTTTTTTCCCTGTAGCATTCCAGCTTTTTGAACTGCAGAAAGGTATGGGTTTAATTCTGTCCAGGGTAATCTGCATGAAACAGTAAGTTTGTTTAACTTCATGCCGTGTCTTAAAGATTATGTATATGAAGTGCATGTTTGTACATTTTTGGTAGTACGTGAATCTCACTTCTGGAATCTGTTGTATTTACCTGGATTTTCAGATGTGGAGTAACATATTTCTAGATGTTTTCCTCTTTGAATGGATGTATATAGGTGCAGAGTTACAATGAACTCGTGATGGTCTCAGCAAACTACGTGCAGTTGAAATGTTAGGTTTTCCATACATTTAAACATCTTTATCACTAACTTGATATTAAGTGGTAAAAAAACCCCAGTATTTGTACATGCTTCCTATATGCACCTGCTCGTATCTTATCCCTTCAACACTGAAAGTGAAAACAAACATCCATGTTTTATTGAATTTGTTAACAAAAGTGAACTGCAAAGTTACAAATAACTGTAAAAATGAACATTATAGTGGGAGCGCTGGCTGAATCTTTGTAATAGGCTTTCCTTGTGCAGTAAAATAAAAAGCAAACTTATTTTGGAATGCATTGACACTTCTCTTTCAGAATAAATGAGAAAATCATACAGTCATGGGATGGGTGAAAAATATGTTTTGTTGCATAAAGATGAATGCTTTTACATGTGAATTGCTAGAAGACAAATAATAGCACAAACAAGAGACTTATCCTTGAAGCTTGGTTTTAAAAATACTCTCATGTTTTCCTGAGCTATGGTAGCCAGTCTGTGTACAATAGCTGGGCCAGATTTCTGTAGAATTCCAATGTACATTAATATTAACAAGAAACCTGTTAAATAGAGGCTTTTAGTCACTTTTATGTGGATTTCAAGTCAGTCAATTGGCAGGACAAAACACAAAAATTAAAGTATTTTTAAGCCTGACATGGTGTTTGACATTTTGGTGATATGTCTGTTTAGCTTTTTAAGCATTAATTTTCAATTTATTATCTTTGGGGTTATTTAAGCATTAGTTTTGAATTTATTATCTTCATTATTTAATTTGATAGTAAGTCCTTTAAATAGGTCAAGAGCCAGGTAGCTGTAAAATATTTCAATGTGAAGAGGTAAAGTGACTGTAAGAATTGTATTCAAAAGTAATTAGTCTTTTTTCCTTTTGCAGGGAAATTGCTTTTACTAGGCAACTACACGAAAAAGCTCCTGATCTCTGTTTTTATTATATGGGTTTCTACATTCATTCCTGCCCCAAAATGAGGTACAAGGTAAAGTGTGTTTTTACTTCTTTCCTTGGTGTACTATTATTCAAAGCATTTGACAGTGTTCATAGAAATGTGATATTTAGTAATTGTCATTTTGGATTTTAATGTAGACTTTATATGGTTAAATTTGAACGATGGTTACTATTTAACTTGGCTTAGGATTTTTTTTTTAAATTAGCTGCATGTGGTGTTTATTACAGGTTGGCTTAAAAGCAGTTCACATGGAGAGGTTTTCAAGGCTGTCAAACAATAGTTTGTCATTTAGTTACCTGGCTATCTCATGTTTACAGTATATCTTCCAATAGACTAAAATTCCCCCTTTTTTAGGTTTGTGTAGTTGTGGAACTGTTGCTTGGTGACTATGGGCAGTGATAACACGCCTTCGTGGTCTTGGCTGTAGTTGGGTTTTTCCTCTTAATTTTTGTTTTTTAGAGATAGGAGACTTGCTCTGCTGATGAAACCAGTGAAGAGCTGGGCTAGCAGGAATTTTGAGCTAGGTAGCAGATTTTTGAGGAAAGGGTCAGGAGAACCCACGGAACGTTTAGAATAACCAATCTGTCACCAAACCACCTTCGTAACCCCCATTAGTTTCAGCTTGGTTTAGACCTCCACGCCTAAGGGTGTCTATCTTCGGTGTTTCTTCTTGTGAATGTGGTATTTTTTCTTTGTAAAGGTATCACTGGCTTTTGAATATTATGATATAATTTCAGAGCACTGAACACTGATATTGCTGAACATCTACATGTAACCAAAGAGATCAGTTAATAATTTGGAAAGTTAAAGATGCTCGTGAAATCTAGAGATGCAGTGTTTTCACTTCTTTTTTTTTTTTTTTTTCTCCTCAAAGTGTGCTAAAAATCTGCAGTGTTTTGAGCTAGTTTTCAAATAGCCAAAAAATTGTGAGGCTCATTGAAGTGATGGTTGTGAAGGAAAAACCGTTTCAGCTTTATTGTGACCTACATTACAGGTGACCACGATGATTCAGTCTTCTGAAAATAACAAATAACAAATCCCTCCCTCTCCTTTTTTTGGAAGATGTTTCTGTCTTTTTTTTTTTTTTTTTTGTCCCCCTCTTCCTTTGCCAGCCCGAGTTTATCAACTACATCTGCTGATCAGACAATGAAAATATTAAGGTTGAGGGAAGCAGATGGGTGAGCTGGAAAAACGCTACCTCTGACATCTAAATAATCTTAAAGGCCATCGCATCACCAGCTTGAACCATAGGTTCTGATGACTTCCTCTGCACTTTGAAAATAGTTAAAAGTTGGGGATGAATTGTTCACGTTGAGATACTGCAATTTAACATCCCTTATCTACTCTACAACAGTTCAAGACCTGTATAAAGGATGCATTTAGTTTACTGGTGCACTTAAGAAAAGAAACAAATCAGACTATAATGGCAAAAAGCATCCCAGTTCTGAAAGGTATCATTGCTAAGGAGCTTTGGGTTTGGCTGCTTGTAGTAGTTTTAATACAAACATGATATTTGTAGACATGGATTAAACAAAGCTCAGACATGCATCGATGTATTAAAGTAGCTAGCAAGCTATTTAAATATGACGATTGAGTGCTGTACAACTGGGAGCTAACCTCAGTAGCCACTATACATTTGTATTTTTTATTATAATGTGGTATCTCTTCTATTGGGCCCGTACTGTTGTTTGAAAACGATTGCATCAAGAATATCAGATTCTCATGGTGTTTCTAGTTTTCATTCTGAAATAATGGAAATTGAGTAAATTGCAGTGGGAGTACTATAATTTTTTTCTTTTTTTTTTTTTTTCCACAAAACTTCCTTTTCTTCCATTGCTTAGACTTGATGACCACCTGATATGACTGTGAGTCATACATTTTAGTCTTCCAGAAACCTATGCATATCAATGTATTGAGGTAATTAAGTGTGGCCCAGCATGAGAATTACCAAGGCAGGGAGTGGGGAGGAGAAGAAAGTCCATATATATTTAGAACACACTAAATAGCAGGTAATTAATGGTCTGGGTTGGGAGAGTAATAGTTTAATAAATGAATTGGAAGTGGTTTTATTTTATATTTGTTTTCCTGTGTATATTTGTTTTAGAAGTCACTAAATGCAATTGAAAATCAGGTTGACGTTAATTCTGTAGTTTCACTTTACCCTCACTGGAATAGTACACCGGAAACAAATTTTGAAACTAAGCTCTGAAATGCATCTGGATAATGCTACTACTCTTGTGAAGTGATTGGGAGTGGTAAAGTAGGATGGGGAAGTGCTGACTTTGCAGATTAAGTAATTTCAGTAGTGCCTGGTTGACTTAGAGGCATTACATGTTGAAGACTTTGCTTTATTGCAGTTTAATGGAGATGTTAGAGGCTCCCTTGCCTTGATGATATTAGCGTGGAAGAATGACAGGCTGTAGGTAACTTGTTAAACTGGTGTCAGGTAAGCAAATTAAATGAAGGAAAGAAAAGGAAGGAGATGAAAAGCTAACCACCGTTTTTTATCCTCTGTTTTTAATTTTCTTTGCAAACTGTTTGTGCCTAGCCTCCATTTCTAACTATCCTAGGACAGTATCACATCCTTATATAGGCAGTGTCTTGTGAAGAACACATTCATGCAATACTTATTTATAGTGAAGTCACAGAATTTTGGAAGTCTTTGGAAGTTTTCCTTCATCTAGTCACAGATTATGATCAGTAGAAATGCCTAAGATGACTTTTGCATTTGATTTTTGGTGGGAACGCCATACTAGACTATTTCTAGCAAAGATGCCTGAGCTTTCCTACTGGTTTGTACCATACATCTCTCTTTTCTGCTGATGGAAGAGGAATAGCTGATGAATTGGGATGTATGAGGAACAGTGACTGTATGATTTCAATTTAAGGAGTTTGACCGTGCTCCACTTTGCATGGAGTAAAACTCAGTCTTCTATATAAGACATGGCTGAAATAGCAGGGGATCTGTGCAATGAACTGTTGAACTTATATTGCAGTGGAAGACCAATGCATTAATGTTACGTGCATGAGGACATAGCTGGATGTTCTGGTTTTAAATACAGGACTCCTCGATTGAAGGTACAGATATCCAACAGCAAGCATTAAAACCTTGTTCTGCATGGGTTCTTTCTTGGAATGCAAATTGTAGACATCTTTTCTGAATTCTTTTTTTTTGTATATGTAAAGTAATAGTCAAACTTTTTTTTAAAAGCATTGGTAACAGGTGATCATATATACCAGTGACTGAGCCATATACAGTAACAGCTCCTTCCTCCTGCAGCGAATCATCTTGGTTATGTTGTGTGCTCTAAGGAGGTCCAGGGCATTAATAGAATATTTTGCTGAAATATTTCTTTTGAATAAGGCTGGTAATATGCTTATCCTGCTTTTTATGCACTTCTTAAAATGCTGTCTGTACCTTTATCCAATAAAGTTTCTTTGAGCAGTCACCTTCCAATATGGCCAGAGCGTCCTGCCAGTTGCCCACACCCAGTGCAGCTGCTGGATGCTGAGCAGGTTGGGGCTGAACTGGCAGAGAATAAGTTACAGGACCCTTTCACCTAAGTATTGTTTCCACAAATGGCACAGTTTTGGACATAAATTGTGTGTAATCTAGTTGAAGATTGGAGGCCTGAGTATCCTGGAAGAAGATCCTCAAGTCAGGGTTCCTGTGGCTCAGAAACAGAGTTGGAAATTCTGTATTATTATTCAGGAAGCCAAAGGTTAATGAGTTCACTTGACCCCATGATCAGACATAAATATAGTTTTGTGTGGTTTGTTTTTTTTTTTTTTATAATGCTCTCTTTTGACTCGCTGTTCCCTTCCCTTCCTTTTTGTTCCCAAACAGCCTGCATTTGATTGCAATGGGATTTTTAAAACGGTGGAGCACCGCTGAAATTACTTCAGATGGGGGAAAGGAGTGTATTGCAATATTAGGCCATTTTTTAGTTCCCAGCTTCTCTTAGATTTCTTCCCATGTACGGGTTAATACTTGTGAACTGGTAAAATAAAATCTACATTAAATTCAGACAAAAGGATTTCTGTAGTCCTCCTTGCTGTATTAATATGGAAAATTGCTATGAAAAACCTTAAGCAGTGGCTTTGTTCCATTTTTTCCGGGTAGGTTAGGGTAATGCACGATTAAAATGGTTCTCTGAAGAAATTCACGACCTTGTGGTAAAATTTTTCAGGCTCTGTTAGGTGTGGTAGTTCTTATGTTGGAAAATAGTCTCTTGGAAAATTTTCCAGGACTCATAAGATGCAAAGTCTTTTCCCTAATACATTTTGGAGTCTGTGAAAAATTTTAAGCAGAAGCCTGTTGGTCTCAGGCTTGCTTCTCATCTATTTAAGTACTGTATCTGTACTCGTTAATACTTTTCAGTTAAAGACACTTGTTTACAAACTTATTCATAGAATTACAGAAATAAAAGAACCACCTTCATTGAACAGCCATATCGGAGAGATGCTTGAGAGGATTTTGGATTTTTTTTTTCCCTATGCTGATATTCTGTCTGTTTTATCCCACATCTTTCCAAGTCAAGAATTTCCCTCCATGGCTCTATGTTGCTGAATTTACTTTTTCCAGACACTACTGAACTCATTGAGATCCTTTCTGTTCTTTCCATTACAGTTGTTTGATACTGATTTTGAGTCTTGTCCATCTAAATAGATTTTGGGTTTGTGCTGCTGGTGTAAAGAGTAAGTGTACTTGCTGCCCTGCGTTTGCCATTTAGACCTCTGCTCACCTTAAATCAGGTTCTCCCTGTAGTCTTTGTATTGGGAAGGGGTTGTTGGTGACATTTTCAATGTGAATTTCCTTACTTCGGGGGATTCTGAGGCTTTTTTCAATGTCAATATTTGCACACAGATAGCACAATTGGAGCAGGTAGTGTTCTGTGCTTTGGTCAATGATCTGCTCCCCTTGTAGCTGCTCTGCTGAGCTTGTAAATAACCATCAGCCTACTTTGAAGTGCGTGACAGGTTTAATGTCTTCTTGCTGTGTTATCTCTGTGTACTGTTTTAAGACCACT